GTTACTCTTCACTTTGAGACATTATTCAGTAATCACTATCCACTATCACAAGAGCATATATATTATAAGAATAACATCAGCATTAATTCACGAGTCATTAAACTCAAATAAGAATTCTAAGGTCAGATTTAACATCAGAAGAAGGAAGAAATTTATTTCTAAAAGACGATTCAACCCAAAAACCTTCACAAAGAGGTTAAAACGTTTACGTCAACATTAAAACAGAAGTAAAGTTGGTTCAACAGGACGCGCAAGGGAAGAAATATCTAAACTGGACATCAATGCCGGAGTTCACTGAGTTTTCATTTTCATGGACAGAGTAAAATGTTGTCTTGATATTTCTCTATTATTGTCTCTACTTTTTTCTAGTTGTTTTATTTTTCATTCCAATGCCTTCTAAGTTAAGTGTAAGTTTGCAAAAAAACCAGGTGTGTCTTTGACATCTGTTTCCTTCCATCTCTTCACAGCTTCAGATCACACCGGGAGGGTTTCATAAGCATTCTGTCACAGTTCGCTGAGGACTCACGCAGCACTCTGGAGCTTGTGATTATAACAGTGGAATTTTTTACGTGTTTCACCAGGTGTATGTACAGACAGTGGGTTTAGAAGTGGGATTTTACTTAAAAAGGGGGCAATAATTCACAGCCCGGCGCAAACGTGAGGTGCTGTCTAAGAGCTTGATGTTTGTTATATTTTAGCTATTATTGCCACATGAAAGTAAAACTTAATGGGATAAATCAGGGTTTATGTCGTCTTTTAAAAAAGACAAAAAGGGGCTGAACTGTCATGTATTAAATATATATTCTTAGTGCTTATTTGCTGATTATATTGTTTTATGTATAAGAGAGGCCAACACAGTGTGTGCCAAAAAGTACTGACAGGAAACTGCATGCTTTTGCAGAGAAAATAGGAGCTGCAGCCAGAAAGTGAAACTAAGCAGAGTGTTTGATTAAAACTTACAGTGTGTGACGTCCAGAGGAGGAATATAAATGACCAAGCTTGCTGTTTTTGCTTCAGACTTCAGCTGGCGTTGCTGGGTGTGCTAAGTCTCCATATTCCGGAATATGTAAAATTAAAGATCATTTTTTGAGTTTGACCACAG